AAGGGTTATGAACACATTGGTAAGTGGGCCGGCCATGGAAAATTGTCTTGCTCTCCCTGGGCTCCCTCCACTTAGAGGAAAATCAGTGAGATTGCCATGCCTTAACTGTGACACCATTTCCCTTGGCAGCTGGACCGCCTGCTGAAGGACAGCAGCATTGGCCCTGTTTTCCAAGGATGTGAGACAACAGACTTCAGGTATGAGTGTCTCTCCAGTGTGCCTCTCTGTGCCCATTGTTTATGTAAGAGAACAAATCATGGTCATGATCCCTACATTTATGGAGCAAGAAAATTCATCATCCTTCCCAGGGACCTTCTTCCAAATGCACCTCTTTTCTATACACCCCTTGCTTCCTTCACTCAACTCTTTGAGCTGGAAAAGCCCAATCCGAAGTTGATTCTAAAGTTCTTGCAGGCCCTCTGCTTCCTAAATATGCCAAGGCTGTTATTGAAGGTGCAGATCAGTGTACGGCCACAAAACACATGCCCCAGTTTTGGGAAGACAAATGTTAAATTGCCACTCTGAAATGACCATGGCAGTTCCATGATGCAAGATGGAGAGAAAAAAATGCAGAGGAGGGTGCTGAGGGAGGTCCCTGTGTTTTGCAGGCCAGGCAGCCACAGGGACGAGACGCGGGTGGACGCCGTGTGCAGCTACAGCAAGGAGGCCTCGGCTGCGCCTTTGGACAGGGAGGGGCTGTACCACCAAGTGAGCAACAAGACCAGAGGCATCACCCAGCTGGGCCCCTACAGCCTGGACAAGGACAGCCTCTTCGTCAACGGTGAGCGGCGCTCCTCCCTCAGCCTCCTCTGCTCTGCCAAGGCAGCCCTCGCCCAGTGCTGTCCCTGGCCCACATCCAGCTCCTGACCCTCTGTCTCTCTCTTTTCCCAGGATACAACGAGCAGCCAGTGCTGACCAGTGAGTACCTTGCAGGAGTGGGATGGGATCTGAAGGCAGCAAAGGGCTCACTGAGGCTTCCCTCAAGCAGAGGAGGCTGAGGGCTTGTGCTTGGCTTCCTGGCTGGGGCTTGAATTCTTCCAGCCTTTCCCATGGAGAGCAGGGATGGCAATGCAGGGATGTGGTTTTGCAACCACAGCCTTGACATCCTGGGTTTTGCCTCTTTTCCTTGCCCCTTTGTGCTTCTTCCAGCTCCCACCCACCCACCAACAACGACAGCTGCTGCCCTTGAGCGTTTCACCGTCAACTTCACCATCACCAACCTTCCCTACACTTCCGACCTGGAGAATCCTGAATCGGCCAAGTTCAGAGCTACTCGAAGGGTTATGAACACATTGGTAAGTGGGCCGGCCATGGAANGATGGATGGATGGATGGATGGATGGATGATGGATGGATGGATGGATGGATGATGGATGGATGATGGATGGATGGATGGATGGATGATGGATGGATGGATGGATGGATGGATGGATGGATGATGGATGGATGGATGGATGGATGGATGGATATTCCCCACACAGGAAATTTTCTAGGACAAAGTAGCAAAGGAGGAGTGCAGGTGTGGAAGGAGGGGAGGAACCATATCCACCTCCATCTCCTCCAGCTGAGTGACCCTGGAGGGGTGGAAAGGAAGACCAGGAGCAGGAGAAAGGGGGGCAGGGGTGGGAGCAGGTATGAGGTGAGGCAGGTGAGGAACCAGGGCTGGCTCACTGCACACCCTGTCCCCATCTCCTGCTGCTTTTCCTGTTGCTGTCCCACCCTTGCACTCCCTCCACAGGCACCCAACAGCTCCCTGTGCCACCAACCCCGGCTCCAAATTGGGTCTGGCCCCTGGTTTGTGCGAGAGCAAACAGGAAATGTTACTCATTTCTTCAGAGTTCTCAACACCCCACAAAAAATCACCTTTGGGCACCTGCAGGGCTGAACCTCTTGGGGCTGAATCACTGGGCCACTGGCAGGAGGGCTGGGAGTGACAGCAGGGTTAGGAGGGACAGCAGGGTTAGGAGGGACAGCAGGTCCTGGAGGCAACCTGTAAACCTCAAATCCATCCTACAGGTTAAACTGAGCTCCCTTCTACCCCATCTCTGCATCCCAAATTCTTTGCAAGCACAGGGAGCCAGCCCAGCCCTGCCCAGCAGGATAAAAAGCTGATCCCACACCTGATTCCCACAGGAATAGGAGAGAGGCGATTTCTTACAGTAAAATCGTTTCTGTGCTGCCTCCTTGGCATGGACTGTCCTGCCACTTGTGAGGGGAAGAGGGGACAGCAGGAATGGGACAGGAAACGGAACCACGAGTGGTTTCATCTGCAGAGCATCACTGCCTCGTGTTTCACACCTGAGCAGGGCTGCAGCTCTGGTTTCCCCTCAGTCAGGGGTACAGGAGAGCCCCCCTTGTGCTGTGGCAGCTGTGCCAGCAAGCTCTGCCCATTTCTCTGCACTGATCCTGGCCCAGAACAGGGGGACAGGGCTGCTCGGGGCTGAGCCTTGTGGGGTGTCCCCACAAACAGTGGGGAAGGGTCTGTGCTGGGAGCTGGGGTCCTGCTGTGGGAACAGAGGCACAGACAGAGGGAGAACACCTTTATGGACAGAGCAATGGGGAAGGTGGGTGCCCACAGCTCCCTCCTTGCTCCCACTTGTTCTCTCAGGATGGATTTATCACTCTGGCTGTTCCTGAGGGGGAAAGATGCAGATATGATCCCAACAGTCAACCCAAGACTCCTTTTGCAGCTCCTGCTAACAGAATTTTATTGGGCACATGTTAGTCCCTCCCCAGTTCAGATCCCTTGTACAGCTCCCACTCAGGGCACCCTTTTCCAAATTAGTTTGAGGGGTTGTTCCATCCTCTGTCTGGCAGTGTGGGCTGTCCTTTTGCACAGTTCTATTATTGCTGCATTCCTTTATTGACTGTGAAATGATTCCTAGAAAAACACTCTTGACAATTGTCCTTATTCTCCAGAGCCTGATGTTTCCATGGATTATGGGAAGGTTTGGGCTGTAAGGGACGTTAAAGCCCATCCAGTGCCACCTCTGCCATGGCAGGGACACCTCCCACCATCCCAGGCTGCTCCAAGCCCCGTCCAGCCTGGCCTTGGGCACTGCCAGGGATCCAGGGGCAGCCCCAGCTGCTCTGGGCACCCTGTGCCAGGGCCTGCCCACCCTCACAGCCAACAATTCCTTCCCAATATCCCATCCAGCCCTGCCCTCTGGCACTGGGAAGCCATTCCCACTTGTCCTTTTGAATCGTCTCTTTCCATGCTGGCTCCTTCAGGCACTGGAAGGACACAGTGAGGTCATCCCTGAGTTTCTTCTTCTCCAGGTGAACACCCCCAGCTCTCCCAGCCTCTCATCCCAGCAGAGCTGGTCCTTCCCTCTGCTCATCCTGGAGCCTCCTCTGTGCTCTGTCCAGCAACTCCAGCTCCTCCCTGTGCTGGTCCCCAGGGCTGGGGCAGCTCTGCAGGTGGGGTCTCACCTGAGGGGACAGAGGGACAGACACACGAAGGAACAGGAGAATCCCTTGAGCTGGAACTGATGAGGTGGAGACTCCCAGGGATCTGAGCTGGGATGTTGAGCTCCACTGTCAGGTCCAGCTCCCAGCAGGGCTGGGCAGGTCTTTTGGGACTGAAAATGTGTGGCTGGGGCAGAGGAGAGCAGCTTGAAGTTACTTCTTCACTTCAAGATCTTCTTTTGCCAGACTGGGGCCGATGGAATCATCAGGTTGGGCTGGTCTTGTCCAACATGTCAAAAAATGTTTGGGACTGACAGACACAGCAACATCAGAACTTCAGGATCATCGTTTACTTGGGAAAAGAGAAAAAGCAAGAAATATCTGAGGAGAGGAAGTTACAGCTGTTCCTGAGAATTCTCTTTGGCTTGAAAACTGAGGAACAGCTCCAAGCAGGAGGCTGCTCTCCCTGAGGCTTTCCCAAAGGAAATGCAGGCAGAAGGCAGGATGGACAAGGACTGGGTCCCAGCAGATCCAGGAATACAAGCACCATGTGCAGCTTGTGCCTGTTTAATAAAGAGTTCCCAAATACACAAAGATCGGGTTTGAAAATGCCTTTTTTAAAAGAAATAAGCAAAACTAAAATATTTTTTGCATTTCAATAATAAAAATAAAAAAATAATATTTAGTCAATTAGTTGCAAACATAAAAAAACAGTTGCAAAGATAAATGAAATCATCTTCTGGACCGCAGCATGTCTGGTCACAGAGAAAGAGTTCATTCTCTCTTGGGGTAAATTACGGTAAACTGGAATAAAGTGCAGGAGGTCCTGCTTTCATTTCATGCCAGTGTAAATCCACACTCCCAGAGTCACAACCCCTTTTTATTTTCTCCAGACAGCTGAGAGGTCTGAAACCAGTTCCATCAACAGTTTCCTGTGTCAGGGAATTCTGACTTCAGGCACATTGGTGAGGATGAAGGCAGTGATGAAGCAAATGTCACTCCGGTGGCTGATAATACTGTCAGCTGTGGTGGTGTCACAGTGTGTGGGGACCATCCCCACTGTCTTGGCCTCTTCCTTCCCCTTCACACCTCCAGTCTGAGCTTGCTGTGGTAGCAGAGCCACCAGTGAGACCGAGGGGTGACCGCAATGTCCTGGCCAGCTGCAGTTGTGCGTAGTGATGCAACCCCAGAAACTCCCTCAGCATCTACACTGAGCAAGGAAAATTACATCCATCTTTGGAGAAAAAGACATTTCCCTCTCACCTCATTCTTCCAAACCCTTCGTGTCCTTGGAATGTCTCACTCTGGCCCCGCAGCAGCCATTCCTGTGCTGCCTCAGTGTGAGTCCAGCCCAGTCTCCTCCAGACTGCCCAGGGCTTTGCTCTTAATCCGGAGCTTGTGTGGGAGGGCAGCGAAGCTCCGGCCCTTCAGCTGCTCTTCTGAGGGGCAGGGCAGGCTGCAGGAGAGCACGGGAGATGTTTTGGGCACTTGTTGCTCGTCATCTTCATCCGACACTGTGGTGCTGCTCTCCTTCCTGGCCTCAGCAGTGCCCGGGGATGGGCACAAGAAGCAGGCGCTGCCCAGCCAGGGGCAGGGGAAGGGGTGTTTGTCTGGGCAGGGGTAGCTGAGGAATGGAGAGAAAACTGTGGGACTGAAGGGAGCATCAAACCTTTTGGGGCTGAAGGATCCCTCAAACCTTTTTGGTTGCTGGAGGCCAGGTGTGTCCATGGGAATGGGTTTGGAGTCACAGCTGAGGATGTTTGTGGAGGGCTTGAAGGTTTTGCAAGGAAACTCAGCTGGTTCCAGCACCTTGGGCACAAAACTCATCCGGGCAGGGCAGCAGGAGTCACCAGCAAAAGGCTCCATGCCCAGCAGGGGTGAGGCTCCCCGGTGCCCCCTGAGGTAGAGCCCGAGGGGGCGACCCTGATAGGGGCTGGGCTCGGGGCTGAGGAGCCCAAAGCGCAGCTTGAGGGAGAGCAGCTCTGTCCTGAGCACGGCATTCTCGCGGCTCAGCGCTGCCAGCTGGCTCTCCATGGCCACGTCGTTGAGGCGCCGCTTCTCCCGCGAGCGCTTGGCGGCCTCGTTGTTCTTGCGCCTCTTCTCCCAGTACATGGTGTCCTTCTTGTCGTCCGGCATGAATTCCCTCTTCCGCCGGGAGTGTCCGCCTGCCTTCCCCAGGAGCAGCTGGGCCTGGCCCTGCTGCAGCACCAGCTCACTCCGAGGGGCCAGAAAGCTCTCCATGGTGGTAGAGAAGGCAGCTGGGGTTCTGTTGGGATGAGAATGCTCATTAGTTACCTCTAATGTGCTGTTAATTAGTGCCACTGGGTAAATTAATATCGGAATAGGGTTGTTTTTTCTCTCTGCCACACACACGTGTAAAATGAGGACAGCTTCTCCCGCTCATTCCCAACATTTTGGAGCCACCTTTTCAAAATATTCAGATTCTGTAAGTTTTCAAAATATTCAGGTTCTGATGTGTCAGCACATCAATTAAACAATAAATCAATCAATCAATCAATCAATCAATCACATCTCACCAACCTCTGCACAGTCCACCCCAGGATATCCAAAAACCGTGCATGACTGAGCAGAGTTCCACCCCACACATTTCGCCGACTCAGTGAACAGTCACACTTTATCTCAGTAACTACAATCAAGATGATAAAAATTAGTTGTGATCTCCGACTCATCTCAAGCTGCCTTACAAAGGAAATAAGAGTCGCTAGCCCTGTTTGGGAGATAAGGAAGGCACAGGGAGAGGAACTGATTTACCTCAGTCATGGGCTTTGGGTAGGAGCTGAAGCAGGGTTACGAAACAGCTTTGCAGTCATGGAGTGGGATTTGGAGGGAAAGGACCTCAAGCTCATCCAGCCCCACCCCTGCCATGGCAGGGACACCTTCCACCATCCCAGGCTGCTCCAAGCCCCGTCCAGCCTGGCCTTGGGCACTGCCAGAGATCCAGGGGCAGCCCCAGCTGCTCTGGGCACCCTGTGCCAGGGCCTGCCCACCCTCCCAGCCAACAATTCCTTCCCAATATCCCATCTAAACCTACCCAGTGTCCATTTAAAGGTATTTCAGAAAAATCAGATCTCTTTTTAAGATATCCCAAGCACCCAACAAATAAAGCAGGAAAGATCTCTGGAGGATTTTGAGGATCAAATAATGTGAGAATGGATTAAATGAGCTCCATCATACAGAGTTACACAAATATTGTACAGCAGAAAGGTGAGCACTGAGCTTAAAATTCTGTTCAAGGCCTTTGATTCAGTGTTCTACTGCTTGTAGATGAAATCTTTATTTATGCAGATTTATAAAACTTCAGTACTGGCTGGTTGTCATCACCAGTGACCTCTGCACAACTCAGACCAATCCGCTTCTATTCCCTCTCCCAGTTTTCCCAGTGTGACCAGAGTTTTGTTCTGGTTTAAACAAGACAAGTCCCACCAAAGTGCTCTCTGCACAAATCAGTGGGATTTT